TAGAGCATGGAAACTGCAGCCAGATTACATCCACGGTTTCTCCCTAGAATTTACAACTGTCCCTGCACCAAGTGGATTCATTGCAACAAGGTCAACTATATGTTATGCTTTTTCCACATCCTGCACGATTTAGTGAATTGTAAAACCAGAAATGGTGTCCTACTCAACAAAAAACTCATCAAGAATAAAAAATCCACAGTCCTAATTGGAAAACCTTTTTTCAACCTCTGATGCAACCCAGTGAATAGTAATGTTTCAACCGTTCCATCTACTTCTACAGTCCTCATTCAAGTAATATTTTACAAGTGTGTGACTATCTGCAACCACGTTATTTAAAGGCTGTCCACGCAACCTGTATGCGTTGCCGTGAACTTAATCCGCAGAACATTTTTACCCGTCTAATTCGGTTGTATGGCTTGACGATTTTTCCGACCCCTACTGAACTGATGAACTGATTTGACCATCTCTTGAGACTTTTTCTCCAACTTTTATCTAGCTATTCTCCTGAAGCCCGTTTCCATGGCTACTGGTAACTAACTGATTGTAACCATCTCAAGTGTCATGGAACGTTTATTTACCAAGGATGTCTACTTTCCCTGACCTTTCGTAGGATGCCTCTCTGTTGCATTCGATGGAGTTACCTTTTGACAAAATTTTCCCTATTGTTCTCCCACTTTACGCACGAACGACAGACAAATCATGACTAAAATTCATCCTTCTTGTTGCACTCCTTCACTTACCAGGCAGCTATACGACAGTGTTTCGTTCTGATTATAATATACAGAAAAAGCAAGAAACTCTTCTCTCTTCCTAATTCTGGTGTGCTTCCAAACATCACTCTGCCAACATTTGCTTCCATCCATGTGTAAAGTGCATTTCTGCGCATCAAACTCATTATCCTCTTCTTCTTTTGCAAGTTAAAGGGTTCATTAAAGACGTCCTGGACTCTCGTGGACTTGAGATGCATTGCAACTCATCCAGGCGCTTACTATAGTTGCTCTTCTGTTGCCACTGATGGGGACTTATCATCACATCACACCAAATTCCAACTGCCCGTATGTTGGATGAGTTTCCTCAAAACCGAGAAATTATTGTCCCCATTAAAGATAAGTGACATTTTATAAGCCTCCATATGTCAATTTCCAGATTTGCTTTTTCGCCCTATACTTGTAGTAACGGTTGCTCTTCATTGACTTCCCAGAAAGTATTTTCTTTTCATTTGGCTTTGAATCACGTTCAAATTGAGGCTGATAAATACAAAAAATATCATTCCTCGTGTTCCTCTTTCTGTTGTCAGATGCATGTGTCGTCATTCATTTTTGAACAACATGGTTACAAACTTAAAAAGTGAATGCAAGCGACGAATGCGAAAGGGTAGCAGGAGAATATGGGACAAAAGAGAGAAACGTCTCATTCGAAGCCATGCCGCCAACAGTTTCAGTCAGATGAGATGAATCCCAACGTATGTAAAAATTTTGAAATGAAAACACGCGTCTAAAGACCAACTACCGAAAAAAGGACAAAAAATGGTGAATGCTCTTCAAGGCGCGGTAAGCACTAGCACAATCAAGACTCGCACATCAGGCACAAAGTGTCCGTCATACTGGGTATGGTGTGAGCTTAAACTGCAAAAATGTACACACAGCACCATGTGCCATAAGTAGGCAGAGAGGCTACAATAGCAAGCAAATACAAGTCACTGACTGTGACCTTAGGAGGACCCAGTCCTTGGCGGATTAAGGAAAACAGGTCCCTCAATAAGAGGTGATCATCGGTTGGTGAACCAAACAGTCGATTTCACAATTGATTGCAAGTAGGGCTGAGATTATGGCGAGGTATTATTCATCAGCACCATACTTCTGCTTCTTCTCATTACACACAGTCGCGGCGTGCCCATCCGAGACTATGCTACGTCTATTACAGTTGCTCGGCAATCCCGAACAGCGATTAGGTCAAGTTTTGATGAAGGACGTCGAAGTAGATACTCTCAACTCCTCGAAGACGGTGTATTCTAGTCGACGGACACGTTTGGCCTTGCAACGCAACTATGACAAATACATCTGGCGTGATGCGTCATCCAGCAGAACTGCGAAATATGCAGCAAATTCTCCGGTTGGCCACAGTTTTCACAACATAAGACCGTCTGGTCACCATGGCCATACCGAGCGCTTCTAACTCTCGTCTTGAGCAGGTTGCATCGGAGCTGGATACTGCAGACAAACATCCGAGGAAACATTCGTTCTGGAAATACAAGCCATCAATTAGAAAGAGGCAAAGCGACCAACTCTCGTAAACCGCGATCGTCAACGTTTTTGTACAGACTATTACCCCAAGCAGATACCAGCTCTTCCTTGGTGTTTGCGTCTACCTATACATATATCTGTATTTCTCCCCACTTATCTATTTAGTTATACATTTAACCATTCAGGTATGTGTTTATATATTTATTTTCGCTTACTTATTGTTACTTACTTGCTTTCATTGCTTACTTCTTCGATTAAAGAGGGAAATCCAGATATTCGAATTCTCCAACACATTTGTTTCGCCCTGTTAAGTGGCGAACGTGGTCTTCTTTTCTAGGGGATATTTGTGTATTCATGTTAGTTTTCGTTATACTTCCAGTGCTCGGTTACCTACCCCACCTTCCCAAATTATCGGTGGACGATACTGTGGCAGCTGCAACACTCAACAAGTGAAGCCCTCCTACATCTGATAACGATGATGATGATGACTCGAACAAGGGTGACTCTTAGGTTTTATTTTTGATTTTATATTAGGCTGTATTAGGTTTATTATTTATAGGTATTTATATTTATATTTATTCATATATTTATATACATATTATTTATGTTATGTTATGTTATTTATTTATCCATATTTATAGGTATTTATATTTGGTTTTATTCCAAAGGGTTGCGTCGGCAAGACTTTGACTTGCGCGATCCACACAGCTGGCTGATTTTCGGCCCCCAAGTATCAACCTGTGCATCTTGACATCTTCCAATGTGTTAGAAATATGAATAACACGAATGGTAAAACCTACTCTGCCGCCACAAAATGGAAAATCGAGCTATTTTATGATCAATGTGCCTCGATAAAATCAAAGTAAGATGGCCAATGACTGTTTGAGTTGAGTGGAATAAAATGCAGCGCAAGAGCCACCAAAACAAGCACTGGGTTCTCTTTTCACTTGGATTGACAAAACACAGTATACCGTCAAGTGTTTATCTAGCAGACGTGTCTGCTACAGTGACTTAATCTATCTCGTTTTAGGAGTTTTGGTTGCTTCGTGCAATAGAAATGTGGTCATGAACTGTAGAAGCAACCATTTTGGCGGCGATGTTGACAAGGCTAATTTTCCCATCGTTACATAAAAGGCTTTTGAACCTAGCCAGATGTAAAAGATCCCGTTTCCAATTTGAAACACAGCAACGCGTCGGGTGGTTTAAGAAATACGGGAGTACATTCTCCGTAAATTTCTCACCTTTAAAATTAGTGCTTTCTAAAATGACGTAGCCTATTGTAGGAATAGATGTTTGGCGGTCCCATAGACAAGGTTTTAGGGAGTTCCCTTTGAAAATTATAATGATTTTATGGTTAGTTATCCGTTTTCCGTGCGGCCTAATATCGTCTTCTTGTTTGGGCCAGGTTTACACTTTATGGAGCTGACGTTTTACGCAAAACGTTACGGATTGGACGAAAAGCTCAGCATCAGCATTTGAAGCTTCTCTCAACATCCCAAGAAGTTCGACATGCCCGATGTTTTCTGGCTGGCCATTCTCCTGGGGCTCGACGTAATCAGGAGTCTGTAGTCTTGAAAAGGCCGGACGGTAACGCCTATCACTTTGTCCAAGATTCACTTTGTGTCCTCCAAGAAAGTACGGAGACAGTTATTCTAAATCTATTAGGTAGGACAACTATTATTCTGCGGTGGTCCGGTGGCTGTCAGATAAGTCCAAACAAATAGATATAATTTCTATTGTTATACTCCTAAAAAACATGTCTCATTTAATTGCCCATCGAAAACAAACTTTTCGCTCGAGCAGAAAGATGCCAGATGTCTCTAGTTTATACATTGGAATCACTTAAACCTCCCCCATGTCTCTTCTCAGTTCCTCAATTCGCCAAAATTCCACTACTGCCGATGCCCGTATCCATATTTGTGCTGTTTACATGTGGTATAATTTTTAGCAAACACCGTCCGAGACGCTGTCCGTGCACACCTGCGATAGCGGGGTGAGCTGGTACAAAGAACGCAACAAGGCTGTCTTGTTTTCCACACCGTTTCCCTAGAATGAAACAGACTACGAATCGGCGAATAAATTCGTTCGACTGGCCCAGAAAGATAGTTCATTTATTCCAGCTTAAAAATAAGTCTTTTCCGAATATGAAGTCGACCGCACTTCGAATTCAATCGGAAATCCCGTGGTGAGGACAGGATCTGTGACACGAATATCAGTTTTACTGATGAACACCAAGGTACCAGTTTGGCACAGTATCCCTTGCAAAACCCCTCTGTATAGACCCGAGTTATCAACCAAGCTACGCCTCAAACCCAATACGAATACTGAGAATTTTAGAACTCCTGATTTCGGTAGTCTCATCCATCTCAGAAGAGCTCGTGGGGGCCATGTTTAAGGCTCCTTTGATTTCACTCCCTCGGAAAATCTAGCAGTTGGTATTCGGTGCCTCATTTCACAGTCACCATCAGTGTTACAGGATTGACATCAACGCTTAAAGGTGTTCGCAAACTAGTACCGGGAATGGACGTTAATCGTGTCCCCAGTGTCATTCAAATTGTACTCGAGGTCTGACGATTGGCATCCAGGTGATCAACTGTTTTCGAAGGGAATTCGAAGAATCCGGCGGGCTAGTACTACATATTTTAGTCGTTCGAAAGCTTTCACCGTCCGTTGCGGCTAAAAGGTGCGCTCACTGTCTTTGGTTTTCAACCCGGGCTTAACCAACTGTCTTAAGTGGACCATCAGTAAGCAAATTTATGGCGCTTGACAGACAATAGTGGAGTTCCTGCAGGGGTCGGTCCAGTCCTCAGCGTTCTTGTAGTAAACCATTAAACTTGGGAAATTTTTTTATCTGCGGCAGCAAATTTCTCTTAAATGAAGCACAAGGATCTAAGTTCATCGGATTCTCAATGAAGGGTGGAAAAGTACAAAACCACTGTTGCATATGAACCTCACGTGCGCGAAGAGTAAGCCAAAGTTAAACACTCCCGAATAGTGACACGTGCTAGGCTTTGTTTGAATAACTGGGGAACCGAGTACGTCTAGCCGCAACAGTCCGCAGAAACTATGTTGCGATACAACCATCGCTAGTTCTTCGGATGGGAACGACCAAAACTCTACCCAAGGGAGCAGATGAAAATAGAAAATATTGAAACTGACCAAAAAACGGCTTCATTCAGGAAGTGATTTTAGTGCTCCTACAAAATCTGAAGGCTCTGCCGGAGCATGCAGATTCTGCTGCCATACTTGCAACGAGGATGCCTGTAGTAATTTGGATGGGTGTGGCATTTAAGAATGACACAGAGTTCACCACATCTTTGACGTATAAACTCCGTCGCTAATCAGGTTGTCTTTTTAGAAGGCAACTGAATATTTTGCTAACCATTACTAATGAGCGCCTCTATAGAATTAGCATCTGGGTGTCGTGCACACGCATATGGCCACTGGTCATCAATTCCCGGCATCTTCAACTAAAGACACTTATGAAATGCGCTCACACTGCCTGTGTAGTTAGTTGCCACATAGCCGTTAACTAGGAATGGAATGTCCACTCCAACCAACTCACAAACCCTCTACAAGGACGCGACTCCCTAACAGAACTACTTAACTGGCTGCAAGGAATACTTCCGAGTTCTAATTCGCCAAATACACAAATTTTGATTTTTGCCATCACAGTCGCTTATCAGAGGGTGTTTTGCGCATGACCCATTAAAACTAATTGTTAAATGCAATGAAATCTGGTGGTACCCGCAGTTTCCGCGTGAAAAAGTTTGTGCGGGGGGAACATCCTCGGAATTCCATCAGCCGAAGATACTCCATTGCCATAGTTTTTCGGCATGTGGCCTGATTTCTTATGTAGTCCACAACAATGCATGGGCTTCAACTGCAAGCTACCGTATACTTTTTTCACAAGAGGTCCCCGCTGGGAAGAAGTCATTGTACTGATTGAACAGTGGAAAAATGAAGGTGGCATCTACTACGGGGTTTCCACATTTCAGCCGGACCAGCAAGGACAAATGTGTCCAAAAGAATTGCTCATGCTGCGCTCAAGCTTTTGTCGTCGAATCATTTGTTCAGGGTGATGAGTTGCTGCTTTGTCAAGAGGATAAGGACGATCATATGCATTTTTCCGGTTTTATTTTCTCACTTTTACAGCTGCAACAACAGAAGAAAAAATAAAACAGATCATTACGTATTGCTGGGTAAACAAAACTCATTATAAATACTTGGATAAAATCAAGGTGTGTGCTAGAAAAGAATTTTGTTCGACGAGCGGAGTAGTTCTGCTGCGGCGCTAAAAATGACGATGATGTCGATTGCTAGGGTGTTCTAATTTTTGTCCCCGTCCAGTCTTGTGCTCTCCCTACTGTGCTGTCGGCTAAAATCTTTTGCCCATTTGGTTGCTGACACATACCAACCACAACTACAGTATGATCAATGTTCAGTTTGTGGTTTGCTTCTTGTATGTCTTCTTCTGTGCATGACTCAGGCATCAGTAGCGTTGCTGGAAATCGAAGGGTAAGGCGACGGGTTTGACTTTTGGGGTGTTTCTGTCAAGAAAGGAAAACAAAGAGAGGTGCGTTTGAAATAAAACAGTTGGTTGATTGTGCAGAAATTCTTGCGGTCTGTTCAGTCTTGGATCAAACAGATCGAAGCAACTACCTACTGATATGTACTCACAGCAACTTAAAAGTTCCACAAAGAACGATTGGATCGGAAATGATCATCCGGAAGAGCCGTATTCACTACGACAGGCCTACCTCATTCGAAATTATTTTATATGGGTTAAGCATTCAATAAGGGCAACTGCCATTCATTAACATCATAATGTTTCACCCTCCCACAGGAAGGGAAAGAATGGTCTCTGAAAAGGATTTCTGTGCTATTGTCGAGCTGGTTCCTTATCACAGCGAACACATCTTAGATCAGTACCTTGATGGAAATCTTCTTCAAAGGGACTTTCTTCGGTAGCCTATTATGCCACTAAACCAGTGTAGAACTGGCTGGACAACTTAAATGAGTCAGCTGTAATAAATTCAGTCCTAGGTCGGCCGAATAATCAGAATAATGGAATATAGTGTAATAATGGCGATTTGGTTGGCTGAAGCTGCCCTGATGATCATGGGGATCTGAAGAGGCTATAGAATAGGGATAGCTGAGGTCAAAACAACCTGGAGACCTGCAAGCAAAACAGGCCTGAATGTCATTGTGTACGATTGGGCAACAGTCCCACGTTTAGGTCCATCATTTGGTTCCGATAGCAGATCCACGTGCTACTTCTTTCAAACGTGAAGGCATTCGTTGATTCTATGCAGTCTCGGGTGGTAGCTGGTTGCCGTAAGTGACACTTAAGAGTAGTCTATCACGTCCAATGTACTCGAGATGTATTCGAGATAGTGCGATGTACTCTATGGACGCAACACATTACTCATAAAACTTCTGAAAACATTCAGTTCATGGAGGAATCATAAACGAGAGATTCACATGGGCTCCAATCGAGTATCCCCTGAAAAATAAACTGGAATTTAGTTGAGCATGTTGTCAAATTTCATGTAATTTGAGTTCACCTCGAACATGAGCTTTACGGAGACTCGGCGACTGCATCATTTTGGATGGGCCCCAAGGTGAGCAAAATCGGTTGTGGTCTGACAGTGAGTCTTAAAGCTACCCTACGAATAGCGTTTTACGTCTGTATAATGCACGCGATATCTCGAACATCTCATAAAATGAAACATGAGGCAACCTGGTGAAGCACATCTATTTAAAGGGCATCGTGATGGAGAAATCCAGCTGAGTTTCCTTATTTCACTCCAAACGACCTATGCTAATGAAACCCAATGAACATCTGACAACCTTGCATTTCCTCTAAAGAACCCCATTGGTCAGTAAATATCGAAATGCCTTGAAGTGGACTTGAAAAGGTCTAGCCATTTTTGCGGTTTCTAATGGTAAAAAATGATAATCGGTGGATGAAACCGGTGCAAGCGGCAGAAAATGACATCTGCACACTGAAGAACACAACATACACCGAGATAAGACTGAAAATAAGAGGGATGTAACAAAACGTCTTCAGTAGTCCACAGAGGTTTACCTGTTTGATCTCCGGTAATTGTGCTCCGACCACAAGCGTACAACAGTTCCACTGTTTAAGAATTTCTCCTAGGGCCTTACGGTCAACGGTGCCGCTATTCAGCTCTGGTCGATGACGATGCCTCCTCAGTACATCCCTGAAGTGAATAAAAACCGAATCATAATGAAGCAAAAGTTTGTCAAAAATTTTTGAGGAACATAAAGTAGGAACATAAAGTTTTCACGCTTCTAATGTCAGTCGAACACGAAATGACAAGCTAGAGAACATTGCATCTCTAGTAAGGGAGAAAACCGTTCAACAGAAATGGCTTATAGGCTCCCTGAAGTTGAAAGACACGTCAGTTGCACGGTCTGTGATGGTCGAAATTTATCGGTCGTTTACTTCATCTAACTACTTCACCGAAAGCCTGTGCGATCTTGCCGCCATGAATTTTGGACCTTAAAACACACTATACTATGTCCATCATACGTTCCATTTCCATCCTTCTAATCCAGGATACTGTGCGCTTCATCTTTTTGCCACCGGACCTCAATTTACAGTCCTAGCATCGAGTGCGAGAGTAGCGTTATCACGATCTGTGTGAAGGCTTCTGAATTACTTACTATCTTGGTTAGTGTATTGGGAGTGAGTGCCATAACTGTAAATCTATGGTAAATAATAGTCTTGGACAATGAATGGTTCAATGCGCAACTGTTTACGGAATTCGGTCTGACAGGATAAGACCATGAGAAGGCGCTTTAGTAAAATACTCAAGCTCCACCGACTTTTATTTAAAAATCAGCTAACTCTTTTGCTCGAAGGATGATAAATATGATGTTCACGCAGTCGGATAAGATTTGCTGTACATCGTAGCCTTAAAGTGTTCTGCCAGGACATGCGCAAAATAGCATAACGGCTTGGGCTAGATCGATCGATGAGGCTTTGATGGACGAAACTCGCCGTGTTTCGAGCCCCATAATGCAAACGTACGTGTAGACTGGTGCGGTAGTTTCGTTAATGGACCTCAATTGAAGTGCCTAATCGAGGTTAACCACCAGATTATTTTTTTGAAATGGGCAATCTGAGCAAATAGCCTATCAAGCCCAGCTGAGACTCAGGTTCATGGTATTCTTGCAAATGAGTTTGTTCCGCGAAAAGCTCATAATTTTCTTATAGAGGAGAATGTTGGTAGCTCAGGTAGTGTAGATGGTCGTGGGCTTGTTCGCTGAGGCGCGCAGTTTGATTGTAAACGTTTCATCACCAGTCAAGGTGACGTCACCAGTGCATTATTGGGGAGCGTAGTGGTGCACAACAACTAATTCATAGCTACGCACCACTACGCTCCCCAATAACTCACTGAAGATTGGTGATGAAACGTTTGCAATCGAATTGCCATGCTCAGCGAACAGCTCCTAATTTTTCGTTTGATCAGAAGTGATGTTCAGGCAGAAAATGGAGTGGATGGAGATTCGGGGACTGCGTTCAGTGGATGAGCTCCAACAATGATGAAACCGATACTAGACTGTGGAGTCTCTCAGCAACCTAAGTAGTTAACTATGTGAAGCCTAGATGTGTGTTCTTCCTCTGATACTGATATGCGCACCTACGCTTTTCGGCATGACGTTCCTTAAGAAGCAGTTTAGGTTTTTAGTTTATGCAGCCTGGAGTTTTATGACTCATAAACTCGTTAGCATATATTTGTTGCCTATGGACACTAAAGCAAACATTTCGGCACCGTTTTTGTACAAATTATGAAGCTTGGAAGACTTTTTCTCGTAGACTACAAGCAGTCACCACTTTTGCAAGCACATAATAGTCCCCTTTATATTATTGGGATTTTGGGACCAAAGCATAGATGCACCGTGAGGAATATTGTGCTCCCAATAAGAATGTGTTCGAGAAATTACTGGTCTGCATATGCAAAAGTAAAAACTCATTTTATGTGTTCCGCAACAACGAAGTTGTGGTGGATTTCGTTTGTGTGGCAAGAAAATAGAGAGACATTTTGTGCCATTTAGGTCAGTACCGTGATCAACCTGACTTGTTTCCTCCAAATGGAACCATCCACCCTAGAAGGAACCATCCTCCCTCGGTCCCGAGACTATTGCCATAAGACTGACACGCGAGGCTTTGTATATACCGACACGTATATACACTGTCACATCTTAGGGACTCCTTATTAGGAAGTCTTCCCTAAATATAGAGTAGTTTCATATTTCATGTTACCAGTTTTCATCATGATGTATGCCAAGAGTATTCCTAAGGCCTGCAGCGTACCAAACCGGTCGCGTTGTTCCCTTCGATGTCTCTTTTGGCGAACGATATTGGTGAGGCTAGGCCAAAGGATTTATGGACACCCCAGATCTACCGCTATTCGGACGAATTCTTAGCCGTACCAATGTTTTCACACATAGGCGTGGTTACGAATAAACTTTGGGTCTTTCAGCAAGAGAGTCCAGTGCGCTTTCATTGTCAACTTTTATTCAGGCGCTGCACTTGGTCGACAAAGAATAACTCGTCGCCTAAGAAATGTTGCTAAAGCTTGTTGGCTACACCCAGTAATGAAGGTCACGAAAGACTGTCATGAGGTGATCGTCTAACCTTTTTGAAATATATCCAGAAAAGTCTTCTGCAGACTATATCAATCAATATCCTAGACCAGCTACAGCTTTTATCTCATTAGATTGTAGGTAGGCAGATGCGTAGGTAAATCCGATGCTGGCAGTCTTTGCTTGTAGATTACCGCAGGATTCACAAACTCCGTGCGATATTTCTATGTGATACTGGGAAACAGTTGCGCACATTCTGTTTAACTTATTGGGCACGATATCCAAACAATTGCAGATGGCATTGATGTAATTACATTCGTGTGGCAATTTTTCTCCGCCACATGGCTTCTGCTTGGTTGGTACACCATCTACACCGCTGAGCCCGTTTCATATAGCAAACGTGTAAGCACAGCCTGCCCAAGTCCACGGGTGCACTGTTCGAACAATTTCTCTCCACTTTGTTGTTCTCAAGACCTTACCTTCTTTGCAGCTGGATTCCACCATCTTTTAGGTCTTGCTTAGCAATCTGCCAGCAGAAAATCGAGAGAAGTTCGACCGCACTCCATCTTCGGGGTTGTGCTGTCAAATACATCAGCCATATTTGCCAATCGGGTAAAGTCAGTCCATCCTGACTAGCTGAAAAGCACTATGCTGCTGTTGCTTTCCTGGTGAGAGGTGTCGAAAATGCACCAGGTTATTTGAAACCACATTCTTCCGGTCCATGAGTGAACACTACCGGTAATCCACAAGTGGCTGACCAGCAATGTGATCAATTTAATATTAGACAGTATTATTATTATATTATATTATTATATGTATTAAATATTATATACTATATTATTATTATTATATTATTATTAGACAATAGCGTAGTCACGTAGTCGCATGGTCTTCGGTTGATCATTTTCCAGAGGAAGAGACCATGAAATTTGTGATTTTATTCACTCTCGTGAAGATCATCTGTAGTTCCTCTCCTCTTCTACAGGCGCGCAATAAAAGTTACAGATCAAACCACAGTATACATCTTTTTTCTCCATCTCTCGTGACAAAAAACACAAAGTTTCTAATGGATTGCGTGGAGAGTTGAGAGATTTTTCGTTAGCTACGTCGTCTTTGGCGATAAACGTCACAACCGCGTTATAATCCTCTCTGCATTCAGAACAGATCATGGTCACCGAACCAAAGATTATACAGCCATCTAAGAAACCATGCATTTGTTCGGCCTAGATTGCTGGTTTGCCTGTGTGATCAGGTTACAAGTTTGTTTACAGCCGTAGAGCTCAGGTTACAGATTGGCTTGAGCTGGGATTGGTCTCATTTCTTCCTATAGCACAGTGAAGTATACTGGCTTTCGATCTATAAAAATCGCACCGGCGTTCAGGAGAAATTAAAGCGACTACGAAGCGGTATGAAGCCACAGTCTCTCGAGACTCTGTGAAGCGTTAAGAGGACGTTAGGGGATCGGGGACGTATGTGAATAACGGAAGAATTACGACCTAGGCTGTTTCATTCTAGTCGAATAATTCGGTTGTACCTCATCGTGCAATCCTCAGATTCGGTGTAGTTTACATTCAATGCATCAAGTGTGACTTCCTCCATTATTTATCTACTGACAGACGTAAAACTACATTTAGTGCCCAGCTTGCTTAGCTAAAGTGACCTGGAGGTCAGATAATGCACTTAAGCGAAGCCCCTAAGAGGCACTTTGTCCCAACGTACGACTGACTCACGAGTAAACCAGCTTGAAAGATTGTGTGTAGTGCACAATCCAGCTCCTGATGGAAGAGAGAAAGCACTTCTCTGCAAAATCATTTGTTAGGAAGAACAAACCAGGTGGTTACAAGCTATTAGACACCAAATTAAATATTTCATATGCACAGAGTCTTTGAAAACTGAACGTCTCGAAACGTCCTCTGGAACATTCCTGGACGTCCTTCGGACAGTAAGCAATTATAAAAGAACATCGCAAAGCAGTTCCATAATCCCCATGACAATCTTCGTCTTTCGTCGGATACGAGGACGGAGCCTGGTCACTGGACAACAGGCTACTTGCGTGCTTCATCAGCAGTGTAAACCATTATACTGGTAGCCATTTCACCGTGAACTAGGGTTGCTTATCTTACAGTAGTTTTCAGAAAGCAGAACGGAATAATTTGTGCGCCGTGGTGTTTCATATTTTATTAGGTGAACTTGGATTTGGGTATCAAAGGGAACGGGACTTCATCACCAGATTAAGACCCTGATTATTCATATAAATGTACACTATTCATGAATAGATTTCAGTGGTAGCTCAAATCATATGGCTAGGTAACTTTACGTACTGGATAATCTCCCTCTTGTAGTTGCGTTTGTCTGTTCACTATGTCTCCCAAAGTTACACCGTTGAGGTCTTTGTTAGTCTTGTTATTTAGCTGTAATCCAGAACAAGCGTCTCTTATTGACGGACGCTAACGAATTCACACACAATAAGCCCTGCAGTATTATGTGGTCCAAATTTATGTTTGATTAGCTTTGAGGTCACGCTTTAGATAAAATTTGATCACAAATTATGTCTATCATCCAAGGGAGCAGGCCATAGGGTGCCAAAATATGGCGGCGGCGAGGATCCAGTGGATATCTGGAGAATGTCCCATTTCATCGAAAATCTGTGAGGAAAATCGGGAACTGGCAAATGAGCATTCTGGGATAAGCAAGTGCTGCACAGCGAACGAATTGAAGGAAACATTAGCTGAGTGAGTGTTGTTCTTTCCAGCTTGAGAAAATACTAGATATTTGTTGGGCAGCAGCAACATTTTTTTATTCAAATCCAGTGTCCGACAGGAACAACTAGATAGACAGATTTTCAACATTTCTAGACATTTCGCATGTTCGCCAATGTCTTTCGGAAATGCCATCCGGCCCATGAAATAGGTTGGCATTATCTGCATTGGAATAAATGATCAGATATGGACCTGTCCTAATGGGGAAAATCGCTCATCTGGGAGGAAGGGTAGAGTGGCCTTTTGGAAGAGAGAAACCTTTTTAGAAATCTGGCGGGGATAAGCGCCAGATTGGATAGTAATTTCAGATGAATATTGCTATATTAGGACAAGTGGTAATGGGAGTTCAAGTAATCAGCAACTTTCTTCAGAGGAGTTTAAAAGACGATCGGTCTAAAGAGGCTTTTATCTCAAAAGTTGAGCGTCGAATAAGCGTCAGTTAATCTTTCGAGCAGGAATTTATATTCATTAATGACCGAAGGTGGCTTTGCGGACACCGCGCTTCTCTCCGGCAAACAACTCGTTCTTCTCATAACCATGAATAAGAAGACTAAGGTGGTGGGTGATCTATTTTCCCGGTCTTCGTACCCACTCATATTGAAAGGAAGTAGGAGCTGTAACTGTGCCTCAATGAAACTTCCCTATACACGACATGTTACCACCATATGAACAGAAACACCAGTTAGCCGAATAGGGAAGCCCCCGGTTTCCCATCCACACGGCTCTACTTGAGGTGTGACTTCAGTTTTAAGGAGTTTATACAACAGTAGCAAACTTATACTACTCAAAACTTTGTGTCTTTGAACCCAAGTGGATTTCTTCTGAGCAATGCGGCTGGTCTAATGCCGTGCCTTGTTGAACAACGTTCCGACCCAACAAATATCTCCACCTACCTCCAATAATTTAAAAATGTTGAACCCTCTTCCTCCCTGGAAACACGTTCTTCTGCCTGCCACCGTGCTTGTTCTGCGTTACGTGCCTGAATGAACTTCTGTTTCATCCATTGTTTATGTGTCAACCGCAAAGATGTAACGTTGGGAACTGTGAATTCGGAAGTGGTCATTTTGTGAGGTAGCGGATCCTCACATGCAACAGGTGTAGCTTGCTGTGGACGATAAACAATACAAGCGAAAAACTATTCTAATTGTGAAACTCCACAAGTGAAAAACCAGCTTTACATATTGAATTTTGCTCATGAATCAGTGAACACTGAACAATTTTGTCAGCTCTTCTACTAGTGATTGAAACTTGAAGAAAGTACAAAGATTGTCATCAATAGTCCAACACCTAAATAGACATAATAAACGGGACTACCGCTTAAAACTGCAAGATAATGAGTTCAGGCACAAATCTTCAGTTGGTCTTGGCTGAAAATTAAAATGTACGGCGTAGTTTTCCCATGCCTGCAAAAGGCCAAAATAATAGATCAGCTGTAGCGTTCTTTTGGCTCCCAACTCCCATGCCACTAGAAGGAATCACGAGGGCTGGGATACTGCCGGATCGCCCAGGTCTAGACAGGGGCAGTCGAGAGGCAGAAGTCGGGTTCGAATCAGGGACTTTCCGGTCAATAAACTCGTGCTCTAACCACCGAGGCGTCTCACCCAGGAAAATAACGGGGTTCTTTCTGGAAAAATTTGGAACCGAAATATCTGGGGAAATTTGATCCTGGAACCGAATTTTATGCACTCTGTCATTAAGCTTCGGGTACATGCACAAATTAGTGGGGGCCAGCTGCAATAATAATGGCCCAACAAACGAATGAAATTTGAGGACGTATTTGGAGAAGCCTTTTATCAGTATTTAAAATCGATTTGACATCTATTATGATATCTTCACCCAACAATAAACGAATGCACATGAGAAAAAATCAGAGTATGACGAAAGGAGTAGCCGGGCTTTTCTGAACTTTCAAAAAACTTGAGATTCTCCAAAACCACATTCATCCCATCCGTTGTTATGCACTTTGCACCCACAAAGTGTAAGGTCATGCTCGTGGACATGCAGTCACTGAACACGTCACTTACAATCCAGGAAGAATTGTTTGAAGTTGTGGAGCGTTTTACGTGTCTTGGAAGTTGTATTAGTTCTGATTGTTGTCTGACAGATGAGGTGAATGCACGAATCTGCAAGGCTCGGGCCGCGTTTGCTAACTTGAGACACCTATGGCGTCAAAGTGGTTTATCAATGAATTTGAAGGGACGTGTGCATCAAGCTACAGTACGGGCTTGTCTTGTTCATGGCTGTGAGACTTGGCCTGTCCGAACGGCGGAAATGAGATGTCTTCGGGTGTCCGACAGTCGTTGTCTCAGATCAATAGCTCACGTGGGTTAGTGTCGGCGACTCCGTAAGGAGGCAATTAGAAAGCGAGTTTTCGGTTGTGCAACGGGTATTTCCATTGAAGGATGTGTTCAGCACCAGAAGCCGTGTTGGTTGGAACATGTGTTACGTATGCCGAACCATCGTTTGCCAAAAAGAGTGCTGTTTTCCATGTCCAATTCAGAGTTGCGGAAGCAGAGAGGTGACCAACCGTTGACTTGGCAGAGGAGTATGAAATAAATCAAGAAACGCTTGGGTGCTGTCGGTGCTACTCGACTTCTAGGATGGGGACCACGTGATCTCCACTGCGCCTGAGTGGAGACGCTGCAAAATATCGCTGCCAACCGATGTCAGCGATGATCTTGTTGTCAGTTTCTATCCAGATTGCCTGAGTGAATGTCTGGATTTGTAGACACCTCGGAATGATTGTAGTAATCTAGCACTACGTCTCTTCCCCCTCCACCTTTTTCATTTTCTTTCTTTCAAATAAACCATGGTTGTACGGCAGTGAAATATCGATGTTGAACACTGATGTCATGCTGTCGATGATGATGATGATGATGATGATGATGATGATGATGATGATGAAACCTCATCCAACAGAAGACCAGGTTCGTAAGTACCAGAAACTTTGAAGATCTCTGTGTTCATTGAGATCACTAAGGTACAAAATACCATGGCGGTCCTGAGTGTTACCACGAGCATTTGGACCCCAACGATAAAGGCGTCAGTTTGACAGCGTCCACTTAAATATGGCATCGTGGCCCAACTTAGTCTTTTTACCATTCTTCCTTCACCAACATTTTGGATCGAAAAAGAGCTTTCCCCGCTAAAGTAGAGATTTAAGTAGCGTGTTACATATCCTTACAAGATTTTGGTCTCCGAAAGCGTTGCTTCTTCCGTACTTTTATCAAGATGAATTGATAACATTTTCGACGCAGAAGCTAACCGAACGTACAGATACTGAGAAATAGCAGTAGTCGTCAATAAAAAAACCACTCACACTATTCCAGCTGTCTGTGCGATTAACTCTTTAACCGATGTCTTAGAAAAGATTATATTCGGATGTAGTAGTCTTTTTGACTCACCTTAGTTTCTGCACTTGTAACTGGAAGCAGGAGTTCATCAGCAACTAACGCCGCTCCGATAGAATGAACGGGCTCTCCAAGTGTTTCTGTTACTTCACACGAGCGCAGAGTTTTTTCAATTTTGGGTGAGTGCTCCCTAGGAAATTCAAGTTTCAGTGGTACGGAATTGGCGCTAGCAGAGTCCTGTGGTGTGTCTGATATGCTAGACGTATCTAATGGCAATGGTGAGCTGCTTTCGCTACTATTCTTGACGTTCAGTGTGCAGTCTGAAGAACTCTTTGGTTGGCTCACATCTCCAGGATTAGACTGTCGAAAAGAAAGATGCAAGAGTCATCGTGGAACAAAAGCCAAAAACGTAAATTACGTTATGGGTTCTGCCAAAGTTCCGGTGCTGTCTGAGAAAACAAACGCACTGTCAACCATTCGTGTAAGTCTTTCAACTGCGTTACATTTTTCATATTCGGGTGGCAATTCCAAGCGTTTCCGCACCAAAAACGGAATCAGACGTACAGCAAAAGTGACGGAAAATTGATACAAAATAGATTAAGCAACAAGACGGATAGAAATGGCCGGCTTCAAGAAGAGAGATCAAAACTTTTCGCACTATTCATAGTGAATGTCTTGCAAGAGTATAGTTCCCTTTGATAATAGGAAAGTTCACTTAGAATCATTTCGTTGAGGGTATTAAACAGAGGAAATATACACACTTTTACAGACTACCCTAAGCCACAGAAGTCCTCCAGACAAAAAAAGAATGACCATATGTGCACAAAAACAACATCGATTTCTCTAGAAATTTATAGCTTCCGAATAAAAATTATCAAATATCCATACCTCCCGTGTTCCGCGATATTTTGCGAAAGATTCAAAAAATAAACTTAGGCGGAGAAACATGCGGTCTGTTGCTTTTTTCAAGGAAGTTTGTGAAAAACACTGGCAGATGGTCCGTCAAACGGTAACATGATTGGCAGTGTTAAAACAGTTGTAGCTCAGGTGCGTGTACGAATCAGGTGGCCATCGATCTGTTCGGCGAGCTTGGCCAACGTTTCTCCACCAGGAGATACCATCGATGCGTACTGATGGTATCGCCTCGACTGGTGAAGAGGCATTTGTAAGCCGATTGCTAATTTCAAGCGAACATCTGATCAACTATTATCAACTTACATGGGTTAAACATGCCCGAATCCACCGGTTGGATAGTCGTCTGGCTTCAAGTCAGTTAAAAAGGCTGTTTTAATCTCCTATTGGTGAAGGCGCGTATGGTTGCACACTGTCTACTAAAAAAACAACGGTGTCCGTTGACCATAAATCGGAATGTATATAATGTACATATATATATATATATATATATATATATATAAATACACATAATTTGACATTCT